GATTCTTCTTGCTGAAAAGAGCAAGACAGGGAGACAAATCATTATAGCGACAGCTTGCTTTTGCCCAGTATATCTTGAATTAAGTATTCTGGAAATCTAATGGAGTTAAATTTATTATTTTCCTAAATGTATTTCTATTTAAAGCTGAGCGTCTCAATAACTGCAATTTAAATATCTATACTACCATTCAGCATGCACTATGCTCTATAGTCTGTYTTTTAAGTACATTTATCACCAGCCCTTTGCAGGATCAGCAATGACATCTATGCAAAGTGGAAAGAAAGAGTCTCCTCAAGGCTCAATAGTGCGATTTAAGAGAGTCTCTGCTATTAAAAGAATTAAATTGATTTCTAGAAAAGAACAACCCCTGCCCCATTCTGAAGATGTACTCTTAATTTCCCAAAACATGCATTGAAGTTGTCAGTGAATTTGGCTRTTGCACCACTGCTTTGGGAGCAGAGGAACAAAATGTCTCTTTGCAACACACTCCTTTTGCTCCCAACATCTGCAGGGAACGTGGTGCAGGGATGAAGCCGCAGGCATTGCGTTTGGCCCTCCAAGGTCCRTCCTGCTCGTGTACATTTTGCAGGCAATAAAGACCATGGGGAGGAGAAGAGGGGCTGTTTGGTGCCAGTGGGTTGCAGTGTGGGAGAGACCGGCACCAAGTCCGTGCTGCAAGTCACAGCGTCCCACATACATCTGCTTGGAGCAAACCCAGAGCTCCCTGGCTCCCCAGRGTGGCGAGGGGCTTTGGGCTGCCCGCTGCCTAAGCAGAAACCACAGGACAGATCCTGGGCAAAAGCTCGATGTGAAAAACCCTGTTCAGCATCAAATGCCCTAGCAAACATAGCAATATCTGTCACACTTCATGGCACCCCCTCACTCCCCCCCAGCCTCTTGGGCATGTGGGGGCACAGGACCAGTTCTTCATGTGAGAACATGGTGTTTAGTGAAAGGAACTTCACAGCTGTGCCAACACTGAGCTGAAGATTACCAAGATGCAGGAACCCAGACGAGTCTGTGCGCTTAAAAGCGATTCCACATTTTGGCTCTAAGTTAGGAACAACTTCTCAGGTTCTGAAGGAAATTCAGTGTGTTTATGCATATCAAGCTAGCTGAAAAATAAATGATTATCAYTGCTGCAACTTCAGCAGAAAAAAAAATGTCCATTTCCAGTGCAGAGACGCAGCAACACCTCACGCACCCTCCCCAACTCGTCCTTTGCAAACCCAGCTGCATCAGCCAGCCGTGAAAACACCGCATGGGAAGCAGGAGTTGGGTGACGCCAGGGCTGCTCCTCTGCCACCAGGGTCCCCAGAGGCCCTGGTGGCGCCAGGCTCTGCCCACCTGGGTCCCCAGGGCACACAGCCAGTGGCGGCAGCCCCGGGGCCACTCGTCGCACCCTAATTGCGGTGCTGGCACCGCGGGCACTTGCTTTCCAGGCTGTTTGTATTTATTGCAAAGTCTCTGCTGCACGGGGCCGGGTGATAAATATAATTCTGGCTATGGTTAATTTGCTGGTTGGGTTGGGGGGGAATGGTGAAGAGGGGGTAATTTCACGGTAAACCATAATTACTAGTACAACTAGTACCCTAATTCCCAATCCAGTCSAGGGGGGAGCTGGGGCTCCAATCAGCCTAATTAGAATTCTGTTTTTTTCCTAACAAATAAGTGGCAATGGCTGATTTGACCCAGCCCACATTAAAATAGACCCTGTCTTAAAATAAAGCGCCGAGGTTTATGACAGCAAGATTGAAGTTTTGGCCACCTCCTAGTCGCGTTACGCAGAGAGCCCATCTGGAGCCGCAGGAAGACAGGACCATTCGGCAGGTCCCCCTCCCAGGGGTCCCCCGGGGCAGGCAGGGACCCCTGGGCCAGGTGGCCACTGCTGTGGGTGCAGCCCAGGCCACGCTTGGACAACCTGCTCCCAGCTGCCCATGCAGACGGTAGAAAATTGCCTTGAAATGAATCGCCCGCAGTGCCGCAGGGGCCGCGCAGCAACAGACGTCGGGCTGTTCCMCCGTCCCTCACCGTTTCTAACCAAATCGCACTTCCTCCCCAGCCCCAAATTGCACCTTTCATTATCTGTGTCAGTCGTGCCTGCAACCCTTGATTTATGATTGACATGAAGTAAAAGGAGGAACTATCAATGCTGTATGCTGATAACTTGACTCCAGTTGTATATCCAGTATGTATTTAATCACAGGCGTAGCAAACATTTTCCACATTTGTTTCCCACTGTTTCCTGACCTGAATTCCTRGCATGTTTTTGCAGGGCTGAAACAATACAAGCAGGAATGAAGAAAGCTTTATCAAAGTATTTCTTCTGACATTCTCTCCTCCTCCTTCTTTCTAGGAACTGCACTAGTTTGTAACAGGAATACTATGTTAGACCTATAAGTTGCATTCTGCCTTTGGCACATGTTCACCTGGAAATTAATCTGTTACAGACATAAAAAAACAGCTAAATTCTTTCAATACCAGGGAGCCTTGCTATTCTGCCATTGCCTGTTGGCTTCCACCAGGGAACAGCAGGTTTGCTAATTACAGCACGCATTTTTGCAAATAATTACAGTCRCAGCATAACAACAAATACCCTCTACAAATCCAACCTGATAAATTAATCTATAATGTAACTTATTAATCTCTAACTTATTAGCATGTTACTCTTTACAAAGGCAAGACAGGCTTTTGACCTCTGAGCATATTCTAACACATGGCAGAGGCAGGAAAAGCAATGTCAGAGGGTAGAAACCCACCAGTAGCAACATATACTTCTAGCTGTAAATATTTTTGGTGTAATAGGAACTTTAGAGCAAATAGGTCACTCTTTCTTTCTTCCTTTCCTTCCTTTCCTCCTTCCATTCTTTCTTCCTTTCCTCCTTCTTTTCCCACTTCATTTTCTTCCTTTCTTTCCTCCCTTGTTTTTTGGTTTTGTTTTCTTTCAGTTTGGTGCCCTTAGAGAGAAATGGAAGAATTCTCCTTTTTTTTTTTTTTTTCCTCTTTTCTTTTTTCCCCTTCGGATAAGCCTTCGTTCCCACAGCTTTCGGGCAAATACCTCCTCACTCGCCGGAGGGCCARGGGCCCTGGGAACCCAGCGAGGGGTGAGCAGAGGAGCTGCTTTCTTAGCAAGCTCAAAACCACTTTTCTATCAATCAAGCCCCACATGAGGCCTCCTGCAACCTGCAGGCTCCTCACCTTTGCATTTTTGCCCTGCTAGCGACTGTCGTGGCAACCGCAGCACTGCTGCGGCCGGGACAAAGAGGGAGCCTGCCGGCGGGAATCCCAATGGATTTCCATGGAGCTGGCAGGGACGGAGCCTGGGGCCTCCCCAGAGAGCGAGGACACAGGGTGCATGGGCTCTTTGCACAAGAAGCAAYTTTCCAGTTTGCACAAGAAGCAAYTTTCYAGTTTGCACAAGAAGCAACTTTCCATAAGGAAGCAGAAAAGCCCTCAAAGGCAGCTTGGGATTTTGGGAGCCCTCTGGGCTGTGCAGAGTGGGAAAAAGGCTAAAAGAAGCAGTACTGTTGACCACCCCCATGACTGGACCAGTCACCCCAGCATTAAAACTAATCAAGTTTCCCAAGAGCTGCACACCTCCCAGTATTGACAGCTCTATTCRGAGGTCCTTCATATGCATTATTAAACTTGGAGCATTATGGCAATATCTGATGCAACTTATCTGTGGCAAATAACTGAAGGAATAAAAATGAACCTAGCTCCACTCCAGGCTTTTCAAAGGGTTTGCTTTTCTTGCCTCTCTGTGCACTCCTCGTGAGCTTAGGCTATTCCTGCCTCCTTGGCTGTCCTTGGTTCACCTTCTCCCGGACACGCTTCTCCTCATTGCTGACTCCGTCCCTTGGGTCAAGGAAAGGGGATTTGGGAGTTGACTCTTTGACACTAGGAAGTCAGGAGTCCTGGAAACATTTAGCAAATTTTTCATAAGGGAACTAAACAGAATTAACCTTCAATACCCAAGGAAAAGTGAAAATCCAGTTTTCCCCCTGAAACCATAACAGTTACATCCTGAGTCACAGCAGGAACCGTGGTGCCTCGCTGTCCTCGAGCAACGAACCGCAGGAGCGACTGTCGTGGTCACCTTCTAGCAACTATTCTGCTCCTCAGAGACGGCTCTGCCACCAGGGCAGCAGTCCAGCAGCGAGGAAAAAAATAGTTTCTCCCCTTGGCCTCGGACCAGGACCTGGCAAACACGCTCGTAATTTGCTGAAGGGAGTTGGAGCATATAAGCTATAAAAATAAAATGAAAACAAGTCAAGCTACGGGCATGGGGCAGCTGTTGGAGATGGAAGAGAGGCAGGGCTCTCAAGTGCTGTGGATTGGGGAAGATGTTCCTCCTGGCATTCCTGGTCATGGGAATGCAGGAGCCTGCAGGGCTGGAGCTGCACTGAAGGTCCACTGTGATTCTGTGATACTGCAGAGCTCATAGAGRGGTCGGTGCCATTCCTGAAGAGATGTGACTGCAAATGACAGGGTGTCCTGAAGACGATGGTGTGCTCCATGCCAGGGTGGGCCTTCCAGTGCCTGCTCCCCAAACTGGCTGCTTCCCATGCGAGCACCACGCAGTGMATCCGTGCCCAGGTCCCCAGGGTGGGCTATAGTGCAGGGGGGCCGAACCTGCTGCTGCAGAGCACCCAGCAAGGCATTGCCTTTCCCCCGAGTATCTGCACCACGGGGAATTTAGCAAGAGCTCCACGCGTTCTGTGTGGACTTAACCCACGCCGATTTTCTTGGTCCCTTCATGGAAAGCAGACTCAGCCCTGCCAGGTTGCGAGGGCACCGAAATGCTCCTGGGCTGCGGGAGCTGCCGCTACGCAGCGGCCGCCTGGAGCGAGCGGGTTCGGTTTGCACAAAACTAGGGAAAAATGAACCTTCTTGGTCTAGGTTTTGCGGGCTGGTGTTTGCGGGAGGGTTGCTGCATTTTATTGCAATCAGGGCTGCATTGTYGTAGTCGAAGCTTTGGATAATTTGGCCAAGATTTGTTGGTAAGAGTCTCCACCTCGTGGTGCAAAATTCAAGTGCCCTTACAAAAATTCTGAAAAAGTTATTTATCCACGGATAAAACCATGCTTAATTCATCTGTTTTGAAGATGGTTTTTCCCCAGAGTACTTGTTAGCACAGTGGTTACATAGAAAGATGAGGTAGAAAAGAAGCTTAATGGAAAATTAACGGGTATATGATYTACATCGCACAACACAATCCTGCTRATCTCTAGCCTTGCTATACACATGAATCCAGGCCCTGCTTAGCATGAATAGCTTACTGATGCTAAGTGTAAAGCATTAKCATTTTATTCTGTTTTATTCTATCCTTTTTTTTCCCCACAGAACTACATGAATATCTCAAATGTTAGTTAAGAAAAAAACTCTACAGTTTTAAAGGTTTTTGCCATCCATGTCATACCTATCATATCAACGCCTAAATTTTCCTTTCTCTTTTAAGCCATTTTTCTCAGTCTTTATCTCTCTAAAAGCATAAAACATTCTCCATATAAAAAGACAGGCTGGAGAACAGCCAAAAGTATGAGAAGCAAAACAGTCTTTTCATGATGTAGATATGGAAAACTTCATCTGAATTTCCTTTAAAACGGCACATTCAGAGAGAGCATCTTGGAGAACACCGGCATGGGGAATATAGTCCCCAGCCTTGATGGCGAAGGGAGTCTGAGCAGGCAGCTGGCCACTCTCTTGGACAACTCCTACCACTTCTCTTGGTGCACAAGCTGATGGACCAGCTGAGTTTGCCCCCAAGGGGCTTAAATTATCATGCTTCTAAACCGCACTGGACCAGGGACACAACTAAATGGGAAGCAGTTTTAGTGCACGTACAATACAYCCCAGAAGAGGGAGTTCCTCTACCACAGATAAGCGATTCCTCAAGAGCGCAAAACACCTTGRACACCAAGATCCCATCGAAACTCCAAAAATGCCATGACAATATTCCAACTAATAATATTTTAAGGAAAAATTATACATATATTTTTAATTTACCTGGTTGCAATGCCCACAATGGTCCTTTGGCACTCTTCCATTCCCACTCTTCCAAAAATCCTTTCCAGAATATTCATGCAGTTTTCAGCTGTATTTATTTCARCTTTAGTTCAATTTAGGTATTTTTACTTCTGTGAAAGAGATGATGCAACATAGTGACAACAGAAAAGCATGTTTTCAAGGAAAGTAGTGAGGTAGTCTTAGTAAATAAAGAAATAATAAAAAAACAGAAAATAAAACACTCAGCAGTTGGCTTTTTTTTTTTAAAGGACCTCTAGACATATATGACATCTTATTATAACACAAAATCAAAATGAAAAGGTGGGACTCGGTCCAACCCGAAAACGAGGGCACCAGGCACTAAGGACTAAACGTGGTTTAGTGGTTGCTAATCCCTACCCACAAAAGAACATCTCAAATAGGTGGACTGCTCCGTTTCTATCTACTCCTTGGGGACCACAGGGTTCCTGTTTCTTTAGTGTGGTCTGATGAAAACAGCAGATGAGTCTTGAGATCTGCCAAAGGCTGAGCTAAGTTTGTTTTGAAAAGAAAAAAAAAAAAAAAGCACGCAAACTCTTTAACACTTCCATTGCCGATAGTAAAACAATATTCTATATTTAATACAAAGCTTCTGGGGCTTTGTACATCTTTTCAGGGCACTCTTCACTCTTTTCTTCATGAAATACCCACAGTAGCTTTGCTTCTGCAATTGTCATGTCTTAAGGCAGACACACACATTTTTTTTTTCTTACTTTTATTTATAAGCATTTCTTAACAGTAAAAAGAAGCAAGTAAATTTGCAGCTAACTGGGGACAGATCCAGGCTAGAAGAAAAACACACACCCTTCTACTCATCTTTGCCCTTGCTGTGTCTACTCTTCTAACTTCAAAATTTTTCTCAATTTTCCTCTTCCAAATTTTTCTCTTCGTCAAAATTTTGCAAGGTTTCTATGTCAGTTTTTAGGAGCAAGAGATATTGACTGCTTTTCCTGCAGAGGCTCTTTCTCCAGGGCTCAGATAACATCACTAGCAGCTTACTCAACTTCTGCACATTTCATTTATTTGAACATCTGGGTGTCTTGCAGAGATTGCCAGATTTACCTTGGCATAGGAATACCCTCATACAACAGAAAYAGAGGAAAAAAACACACTGAAAAATGATCAGAGAGAGCTGGCACTCTTTTCTTCCACTATTCTCTGTCATAGAGCCATAGAGATGCCTTTAATAATCTAGGGAAAGCCCTGAGAAACCTAAGGAAGGYGAAAATTAAGGCAGCAGAAAATACATGCAGAATGAGCAAGTTATCACACATACTTCTTTGATTTGTTTTAGAATAGATAAATTAAGAAACACAAAAACATACATGTACCTTTAAAAAAAGAGAAAGGGTAAAACATTCATAAAAAATAATTTCAATCTACTTGGAAACTATGAACATARGTATGTTATAAGAATGTTAGATTCAATAGATTTAAGTGACTCACTACAATGAAGAGTATATGGTAGAAGATGACACTTTTCTGTCCAAGTAAAATCCTCTTCTTGGAAATCTGGGGAAAAAGGCATAAATATATCATATGATACCACTGTTACTAAAATAGCTGCTTTTGTCTGAAAAGCAATAGACTTTCTCACTCCTTCCATCTCCTTTGCAAAATCCTCAATAACCTAGTACTGATTTGCTGCAAATATATGCCTTYTAAAGTGGACTAATTTGCCATATGGGATTGCAGCAAAATGCAAGTTAATGTTTCCTGACATTGTGCCCAATATCTAATGTCCTTTAACACAGCTATTTAACCACATAGCTATTTAACTTTTATTGGTAAGAGATCATTTTTCCCTTCTAGGTACATTGCATCTATTAGCCTCAGCTTTACACTCTTTCTATCCTTTTATTTCTTCAGGATGCTGAGGAAACTATTAAAATGAGTGATGGTCCCCAAGGACCCATCTTTGGGCTTGGCACTTCCTCCTCAGCGCTGCTCCCAACTTGTGCCCGTCCTCTCCTAAGCGCCAGCATCTCCTCATCCCCCTGCACTCCCTGCTCTGGCCCAGGTCTGGAACAACCCACCAGAATCCAGTTGAAGGAGAATTGGGAGACTGAAACTGGAACCACTTACTGGGGTGTGGGTAACATGCTAGAAAAATGCCTAGGAGAGAGAGCAATCAAGCAATTACCTGGAGAGTCCATTACCAAATACAATTTGTCCTTCTTTAATTTCTGCAGCTTAAGCAGCAGCTTTTGGAAGTTGGTAAAAACACAACTGTCCGGGTTTTTGTTATTGTTTGTTTGCTTGCTTGCTTTTTGCAAAATAGCTGCTAATAGAGTTTCAGAATTACCTTCCCTGTCTAATTTTCTAATTGTAATATTGTTAATTGCTGTTAATTGCTGTTAATTGTTAATTGTTGTTAATTGCTAATATTGTAATTTTTTCTTAGACTGCCGCTGGGAAGAAGCCCTAGTCTACCTTTCTCTCTTGCTAGGCTAAAACTTTCTTTGTCCTGCAGTCAAAACAAAGGTTCTAATCGAGAAATCACATTGAATTTCAGATGCAAAAGCTCCAGACTGCATTGTACTAGGTCAGGAGCTGCAGAAACACTGTGGGAGCAGCGTTCCTGTCCCGGACAGCTTTTGTAGGTGACAATACAATAAAGCATGAAGGTAATTTGGAAGAGGGCTGTATTTACGTGGCACGAGATGCTTCAGGTTTTTCTTAAGCAGCAGCAAATTGCCTTGCCAGAAAAAGGAGATGAAGACGTAGCAGGGAAGTTTGGAGGCAAATACCTACTTCCTAGTCTCCAAAATCAGCATTCATTTTTTTTTAATAATAATAATAATAATAAAAGAAAAAATCTATGCATTTCATCCTTTCTGCCCAAGCACAAGAGCACAACTGAAGARCTGTTGACTTTAGGAAGGTTAAAGGTGGTTGCCTCATCTAACAAATGGGTTTTAGCGAGCGYGGAGGGTTGTTGTTCTTTCTCCTTTCGGGAATGAAGTGTCAGGAAGCTGCTGAGGGCAAACAGGCCCCCGCTGAGCCCCTGAATGATGGTCCCAGCTGCAGAGGGTGCTGGAGCAAAGCGGGACCTGCGGTTTGCACATTTGGGAATTGCAGGCCAGCTCCCTTTCCCACGGCTGAAGTTGGCCGAGCAACACCGACAGCTCCACTGGGAAAACGGGGCGCAAGCAGTTTAACTCGGAGCACCAAGTGACGTGCAGCAGTTAAACCGCTCCTAACGCCCAGACCCTTTGCTCGGGCCTCRTGTGTCTTCCCAGCTATGAACCTCAAGGGTTGCTGTTGAGTATTGTGCAAGACAGCCAGGAATCAGGTGAAAATAGAGCAGGATTTGGTGTTCCTGCTCGGAAAGCTCAGCACTAAATCCATTCAATTTCCTGGAGAAGGCCAAGCGCGAAGACCCAGCAGATACCAGGACAAGCCCGCATCCCCCACCTGCACCTTCGCGATTCCTTGAGATGGTAAAACCTGGAGATGTTTTACCTCCAAGTAAAGAGCAAGCACAACCTCCAAATTCCTATGTACACCCCTGGAAGTACTGAGGATCCAGGTCAGACTCGGAAATCCCTTTGCCTCTCCGAGGTAACRTGAAACCCTGCGCACATGGCAGGAGGGGATGGGATCCTGCGTCTTGCTCCCTACTTGGTTCTTTCTGAGCCTGCACCAACATAGTACAAGACACAGTCTTGCTGTTTCCATGAAAAGCTAAATGTGGGTCTCACTAACTCCTTACTGCTTTTTTCAACTCATTTGTGGGATGATGGAATTCCCGTAAAAATTCCCACCACCACATCCTCAAGTCCCAAAAGCTTCAGGACCAAAGCAAGAAGCAGAACAGGATGGCAAGACATGTCATTGCTCTCTGCGACAGGCAACCCATAAGAACAACAGACTTCTGTTTATTTTCTCACGTGTGTTATTTAAAACCATCCCTTCTGGGGGCCTTACAGTGAAGTGACTTCTCACAATATAGCAAGGGAGAGGAATAAGTGCTTGAAAGATCTGGAAGAAGGCTGCAGTAACAAGGAACACGTGCACCCAGGCACCCAGGAAAGCACATAAAACAATTGCCAATAAAACAATCCCCAACTGCTGCCCCTGCCRAAACAGGAGCCAGGCTCCAAGGTCTAAGAACCTGCTTTCTATTAATAAAAACTATAAAACTTTCAGCAAAAGGTGAAAACTAATATCGCCTTTTGGCAGGAAAGCAGAAGATTTCTTTACAGGAAGGAGTGGCATATTGAAAATTCCCTGGAAGTAGGATACAGAAAGGATGCCAATGGAAGCAAGCTTCAGCAATCAGCAAAATCACCTGTGTTATGAAGCTAACAAAAATAGTCGCCTACACCTTGTGCATGAATCAGATCTTGTATTATTTTTAAAACTTACAATTGGACCTTAAATTAAATAAAATCTTTGAAGTTCTCTCTTGCTATTATTTCCCATTTTAGTTCTTAGAGTTTCTTATCTGCCAAATTATGGATCTGCTTTAGGGCTTTGTTCCAAATCCAAAGCTTGGGGAATTTTGTTAGCGATACAATAAAAACAAAACAGAACCAAAAAAAAATCAA